GTCCCCTCCGCTTGTCTTTCAGCGCTCGCCCTGCCGGGGAGAGACAGCACCGCTGTGGAGTGTGCTCCCAGGGGAGGCCTCGTTCAAAGGATCCCACCCGCAGGCCGCGTTTAAAGGACGCCTGCCACATGGGGCTGCCTTGAGGAAATGCCTCCGTTCCCCCGTCGGGTGCCCACCACCTTTTGTAACAGGTTTCAAATCGACGGCTGGAAAGGGCCGTACCACGGCTACGTGGTATTGTTACATCCCTGGGCCCCGCCCCGCGTGGGCTGGGTGTGGTGGGATTGCCTGGGCAGAGCAGGGGGACGTGAGGTGCTGGGCAGGAGGAAAGGGGAGAACTGGGGCAGAGGCAGAGAAGTGGGGAGTTGTGGGCAGAGCAGGGGGACGTGAGGTGCTGGGCAGGAGGAAAGGGGAGAACTGGGGCAGAGGCAGAGAAGTGGGGAGTTGTGGGCAGAGCAGGGGGACGTGAGGTGCTGGGCAGGAGGAAAGGGGAGAACTGGGGCAGAGGCAGAGAAGTGGGGAGTTGTGGGCAGAGCAGGGGGACGTGAGGTGCTGGGCAGGAGGAAAGGGGAGAACTGGGGCAGAGGCAGAGAAGTGGGGAGTTGTGGGCAGAGCAGGGGGACGTGAGGTGCTGGGCAGGAGGAAAGGGGAGAACTGGGGCAGAGGCAGAGAAGTGGGGAGTTGTGGGCAGAGCAGGGGGACGTGAGGTGCTGGGCAGGAGGAAAGGGGAGAACTGGGGCAGAGGCAGAGAAGTGGGGAGTTGTGGGCAGAGCAGGGGGACGTGAGGTGCTGGGCAGGAGGAAAGGGGAGAACTGGGGCAGAGGCAGAGAAGTGGGGAGTTGTGGGCAGAGCAGGGGGACGTGAGGTGCTGGGCAGGAGGAAAGGGGAGAACTGGGGCAGAGGCAGAGAAGTGGGGAGTTGTGGGCAGAGCAGGGGGACGTGAGGTGCTGGGCAGGAGGAAAGGGGAGAACTGGGGCAGAGGCAGAGAAGTGGGGAGTTGTGGGCAGAGCAGGGGGACGTGAGGTGCTGGGCAGGAGGAAAGGGGAGAACTGGGGCAGAGGCAGAGAAGTGGGGAGTTGTGGGCAGAGCAGGGGGACGTGAGGTGCTGGGCAGGAGGAAAGGGGAGAACTGGGGCAGAGGCAGAGAAGTGGGGAGTTGTGGGCAGAGCAGGGGGACGTGAGGTGCTGGGCAGGAGGAAAGGGGAGAACTGGGGCAGAGGCAGAGAAGTGGGGAGTTGTGGGCAGAGCAGGGGGACGTGAGGTGCTGGGCAGGAGGAAAGGGGAGAACTGGGGCAGAGGCAGAGAAGTGGGGAGTTGTGGGCAGAGCAGGGGGACGTGAGGTGCTGGGCAGGAGGAAAGGGGAGAACTGGGGCAGAGGCAGAGAAGTGGGGAGTTGTGGGCAGAGCAGGGGGACGTGAGGTGCTGGGCAGGAGGAAAGGGGAGAACTGGGGCAGAGGCAGAGAAGTGGGGAGTTGTGGGCAGAGCAGGGGGACGTGAGGTGCTGGGCAGGAGGAAAGGGGAGAACTGGGGCAGAGGCAGAGAAGTGGGGAGTTGTGGGCAGAGCAGGGGGACGTGAGGTGCTGGGCAGGAGGAAAGGGGAGAACTGGGGCAGAGGCAGAGAAGTGGGGAGTTGTGGGCAGAGCAGGGGGACGTGAGGTGCTGGGCAGGAGGAAAGGGGAGAACTGGGGCAGAGGCAGAGAAGTGGGGAGTTGTGGGCAGAGCAGGGGGACGTGAGGTGCTGGGCAGGAGGAAAGGGGAGAACTGGGGCAGAGGCAGAGAAGTGGGGAGTTGTGGGCAGAGCAGGGGGACGTGAGGTGCTGGGCAGGAGGAAAGGGGAGAACTGGGGCAGAGGCAGAGAAGTGGGGAGTTGTGGGCAGAGCAGGGGGACGTGAGGTGCTGGGCAGGAGGAAAGGGGAGAACTGGGGCAGAGGCAGAGAAGTGGGGAGTTGTGGGCAGAGCAGGGGGACGTGAGGTGCTGGGCAGGAGGAAAGGGGAGAACTGGGGCAGAGGCAGAGAAGTGGGGAGTTGTGGGCAGAGCAGGGGGACGTGAGGTGCTGGGCAGGAGGAAAGGGGAGAACTGGGGCAGAGGCAGAGAAGTGGGGAGTTGTGGGCAGAGCAGGGGGACGTGAGGTGCTGGGCAGGAGGAAAGGGGAGAACTGGGGCAGAGGCAGAGAAGTGGGGAGTTGTGGGCAGAGCAGGGGGACGTGAGGTGCTGGGCAGGAGGAAAGGGGAGAACTGGGGCAGAGGCAGAGAAGTGGGGAGTTGTGGGCAGAGCAGGGGGACGTGAGGTGCTGGGCAGGAGGAAAGGGGAGAACTGGGGCAGAGGCAGAGAAGTGGGGAGTTGTGGGCAGAGCAGGGGGACGTGAGGTGCTGGGCAGGAGGAAAGGGGAGAACTGGGGCAGAGGCAGAGAAGTGGGGAGTTGTGGGCAGAGCAGGGGGACGTGAGGTGCTGGGCAGGAGGAAAGGGGAGAACTGGGGCAGAGGCAGAGAAGTGGGGAGTTGTGGGCAGAGCAGGGGGACGTGAGGTGCTGGGCAGGAGGAAAGGGGAGAACTGGGGCAGAGGCAGAGAAGTGGGGAGTTGTGGGCAGAGCAGGGGGACGTGAGGTGCTGGGCAGGAGGAAAGGGGAGAACTGGGGCAGAGGCAGAGAAGTGGGGAGTTGTGGGCAGAGCAGGGGGACGTGAGGTGCTGGGCAGGAGGAAAGGGGAGAACTGGGGCAGAGGCAGAGAAGTGGGGAGTTGTGGGCAGAGCAGGGGGACGTGAGGTGCTGGGCAGGAGGAAAGGGGAGAACTGGGGCAGAGGCAGAGAAGTGGGGAGTTGTGGGCAGAGCAGGGGGACGTGAGGTGCTGGGCAGGAGGAAAGGGGAGAACTGGGGCAGAGGCAGAGAAGTGGGGAGTTGTGGGCAGAGCAGGGGGACGTGAGGTGCTGGGCAGGAGGAAAGGGGAGAACTGGGGCAGAGGCAGAGAAGTGGGGAGTTGTGGGCAGAGCAGGGGGACGTGAGGTGCTGGGCAGGAGGAAAGGGGAGAACTGGGGCAGAGGCAGAGAAGTGGGGAGTTGTGGGCAGAGCAGGGGGACGTGAGGTGCTGGGCAGGAGGAAAGGGGAGAACTGGGGCAGAGGCAGAGAAGTGGGGAGTTGTGGGCAGAGCAGGGGGACGTGAGGTGCTGGGCAGGAGGAAAGGGGAGAACTGGGGCAGAGGCAGAGAAGTGGGGAGTTGTGGGCAGAGCAGGGGGACGTGAGGTGCTGGGCAGGAGGAAAGGGGAGAACTGGGGCAGAGGCAGAGAAGTGGGGAGTTGTGGGCAGAGCAGGGGGACGTGAGGTGCTGGGCAGGAGGAAAGGGGAGAACTGGGGCAGAGGCAGAGAAGTGGGGAGTTGTGGGCAGAGCAGGGGGACGTGAGGTGCTGGGCAGGAGGAAAGGGGAGAACTGGGGCAGAGGCAGAGAAGTGGGGAGTTGTGGGCAGAGCAGGGGGACGTGAGGTGCTGGGCAGGAGGAAAGGGGAGAACTGGGGCAGAGGCAGAGAAGTGGGGAGTTGTGGGCAGAGCAGGGGGACGTGAGGTGCTGGGCAGGAGGAAAGGGGAGAACTGGGGCAGAGGCAGAGAAGTGGGGAGTTGTGGGCAGAGCAGGGGGACGTGAGGTGCTGGGCAGGAGGAAAGGGGAGAACTGGGGCAGAGGCAGAGAAGTGGGGAGTTGTGGGCAGAGCAGGGGGACGTGAGGTGCTGGGCAGGAGGAAAGGGGAGAACTGGGGCAGAGGCAGAGAAGTGGGGAGTTGTGGGCAGAGCAGGGGGACGTGAGGTGCTGGGCAGGAGGAAAGGGGAGAACTGGGGCAGAGGCAGAGAAGTGGGGAGTTGTGGGCAGAGCAGGGGGACGTGAGGTGCTGGGCAGGAGGAAAGGGGAGAACTGGGGCAGAGGCAGAGAAGTGGGGAGTTGTGGGCAGAGCAGGGGGACGTGAGGTGCTGGGCAGGAGGAAAGGGGAGAACTGGGGCAGAGGCAGAGAAGTGGGGAGTTGTGGGCAGAGCAGGGGGACGTGAGGTGCTGGGCAGGAGGAAAGGGGAGAACTGGGGCAGAGGCAGAGAAGTGGGGAGTTGTGGGCAGAGCAGGGGGACGTGAGGTGCTGGGCAGGAGGAAAGGGGAGAACTGGGGCAGAGGCAGAGAAGTGGGGAGTTGTGGGCAGAGCAGGGGGACGTGAGGTGCTGGGCAGGAGGAAAGGGGAGAACTGGGGCAGAGGCAGAGAAGTGGGGAGTTGTGGGCAGAGCAGGGGGACGTGAGGTGCTGGGCAGGAGGAAAGGGGAGAACTGGGGCAGAGGCAGAGAAGTGGGGAGTTGTGGGCAGAGCAGGGGGACGTGAGGTGCTGGGCAGGAGGAAAGGGGAGAACTGGGGCAGAGGCAGAGAAGTGGGGAGTTGTGGGCAGAGCAGGGGGACGTGAGGTGCTGGGCAGGAGGAAAGGGGAGAACTGGGGCAGAGGCAGAGAAGTGGGGAGTTGTGGGCAGAGCAGGGGGACGTGAGGTGCTGGGCAGGAGGAAAGGGGAGAACTGGGGCAGAGGCAGAGAAGTGGGGAGTTGTGGGCAGAGCAGGGGGACGTGAGGTGCTGGGCAGGAGGAAAGGGGAGAACTGGGGCAGAGGCAGAGAAGTGGGGAGTTGTGGGCAGAGCAGGGGGACGTGAGGTGCTGGGCAGGAGGAAAGGGGAGAACTGGGGCAGAGGCAGAGAAGTGGGGAGTTGTGGGCAGAGCAGGGGGACGTGAGGTGCTGGGCAGGAGGAAAGGGGAGAACTGGGGCAGAGGCAGAGAAGTGGGGAGTTGTGGGCAGAGCAGGGGGACGTGAGGTGCTGGGCAGGAGGAAAGGGGAGAACTGGGGCAGAGGCAGAGAAGTGGGGAGTTGTGGGCGGAGCAAGGGGACGTGAGGTGCTGGGCAGGAGGAAAGGGGAGAACTGGGGCAGAGGCAGAGAAGGGGGGGGGGGGGGGGGGGGGGGGGGGACGACAAAATTATTGTTGGGGGAGTTGTAGTACTGCTACCCTTACTTCTAGGGATGTTAAAAATTATGTAATGGGATAAACCAGGGCTACTCAACTTTGGAAGCCGCAGAAGCCACAACGATACTCAAAGCACATGACGAAGGCTGCAACTTAAGTGTGGTTGCATATACGTGCAAATATATTATACACAAATAGCTTCTTCGTTTTTCTTAAATTGCTGTCAGGTAGACACAAGTCTTTGAATTCAGGGTGACAAGATTCATGGTGCCAATGCAGGTTCGTTTTCTTTAACGCAGTGATAGTCTTGAGACAAAGAAGACACATTGGTTTTCCATTTCTCTCTGCAAAAGTGAATGCCATCTCCCAAACAGGGTTGAAAACCCTGTGTTCATCCAACAAGCATCTCCTCTTTGTTGCCATTTTTAATGCTTCTTAAAAAGAAAATTGTATACCAGCGTTTTGGGTGTCTAGCTTGAAGCTTCATGTTTTTTTCTGGAGTGATTTTACTCAGAAAAAGTTTCCAACCCAGAGTGCTCCAACCTACGGTGCTGAGCAGCCAGCACTTCCCACAATGCCTCGGCGCTCCCTGCACCTCCTCCCCGGGGGCTAGAAATGCTGACACTCTGTACCAGTCTGTTCCAACCAGCCTGTCTGGGAGTCAGTCAGCACCTCTCAGGCTCTGCCCACTAGGCTGAGCAGCCAGCACTTCCCACAATGCCCCGGCACCTCCCTGGGGGCTCCCCCGGGGGCTAGAAATGCTGACACTCTGTACCAGTCTGTTCCAACCAGCCTGTCTGCTTGCATCTTTCAATGCTCACCCCACTTGGGAGATACCTCTCCATTGCAGACTGTGCTCCCAGTGGAGGCCATAGTCAAAGGAACCCACTCATGGGCCACATGTTGAGCCCTACATAAACCCAAACTGTACCACGGGTCACAAATAGCAAAGTGATACCGAGCCCGCGTCTCCTTCCAGGTGTGAGATCGGCTGCAGAATGCGACCCTCGCTAGCTTCTGCGCAGGGGCCTGGCGCGGTGACGTTACTCACCTCTAAGCCAGGGAGGCGGGCGGAGGAGTCCTGCTGCTGCGGAGCCCGAGGAATGGTCATACGTCGCCCTGCCGGCGCTTGCCAAAGCCCTGGTGGGGACAGAGCACAGGGGTTAAGTGACTTGCCCATGGTCCCTCTGACTCAGTGGTTCTCACCTCTGGGCTAGCTCTATTACTCACTCCCCAGAAGCTTTGCTGGGGGGCTGGTGAAGCTCCAGCATGCGAGGAGTCCTGCTGCTGCGGAGCCCGAGGAATGGTCATACGTCGCCCTGCCGGCGCTTGCCAAAGCCCTGGTGGGGACAGAGCACAGGGGTTAAGTGACTTGCCCATGGTCCCTCTGACTCAGTGGTTCTCACCTCTGGGCTAGCTCTATTACTCACTCCCCAGAAGCTTTGCTGGGGGGCTGGTGAAGCTCCAGCATGCGGAGCCGGAGCTTGACCCCTGGACAGTTAACAAGCCCTTGGCAGCCCTTAGAACACGGGGCATTGCCAGAAGCCAAGCCCCAGGCTCCTGCTCAGCGCCCAGGGGAGGCCGTGACCCCCCCACCCGGGCCCCTGTGGCTACTCCAAGTGACCTTCCCCTCTGACTGACCTGCAGAGGTGCCAGTGAGCTTGCAGTAAAACAGTCTAATAGCGGGCGCGTTTAGGAACGGGCCCTGGGGGCTAGAACGCTTCTCTCTCGCCAGCCGAAGGGGATGTAATAAGATGCTGCCTCCCCCAGCCTGCCCCTCACCTGTATTGCAGGCCAGTTGCTCTCTTGTAGGGATGTACAAGCCCATTCAACCACTTAAAGGGGGCTGTGGGCAGGGGCTGCTCCAGGCCACTGGTTAACTGGTAACATCACCCAGTAAGGAGAACCATTGACATCCCTACAGCCAGGGTCAAAGGCAGCAGAGACCATACCCGTCTCCACAATGGCACGTGTGCTGTGCATCCAGCCCGTGGTCGCGGAGGGGCGGAGAGGGGGCTCTCGGCACCGAGGACGTGTTACCACAGCTGCAGGGGGCAAGTCTGGAATGAATAGTGCGGTGACACTAGGCGATAAGGCAGATGAGCCCATTCTGATCAGCTTGTCTGATTTCTTGCATAACACACGCCAGAGAATGTCACTTAGTAATTTCTGCAGCCGAGGGAATTACTCTGCTGTGCAGTACAGGAACCTGAGCCCTTCGGGTTGGGCTGCAGCCTTTCTCTGTATGAAAGAGATCCAATCTCGGTTTGAAAACTCCAGGAAACGCTGCCTTGCTGTGCCACGTCCCAGCCAAATCTCTTCGCATGGCTGACTGCCTTTGTGGCAAATGGTTCTTAGTTTCAGTTTGAATTGTTCTGACTTCGGCTTCCAGCCTGGGGTTTTTGTTGTGCCTTTGCCTGCTGGCCTGAAAAAGACACCTCAAGTCAGCTCTCTGGTAGGCAGGAGCACAGCCATCTCCAAGCTCGGCTGCGGCCGCAGACGGCGCGTCGGTCTCCGCAAGGTTTGTTTTCTGGACCACAAATCAGCCTCGTAAACCTTCTCCAGCCCTCACCCAGTTTTCTGAATCCTTCGTGGGGCGGAGCTGTGCGCTGCCCCTCCCTACTCCCACTCCGCGGGCCCTGGCTTGGGACCGCTCTATTTGATCAGATCACATCTGCAGGAGTGGGTGGCGTGGCGGCACCCCAGGGCTCCGCTGTGCTGCTAGCCAAGGGGCAGGGCAGGGATTTTTGAGGGTGGGGTCATGCCAAGGCATTTTGGTAAGTGGCCATTTTTCTATGTAGGAGCAGGAGAGTCTGGGACAGATTTTGAGTGTAGAAGGGAGCTCAGGGTGGGGGACTGTGGTGTAGGAGAGGGTGTGGAGTCTGAGACAGTGTTTTGGTAAAGGAGGGTGTTGTGATCTGGGGCAGGTTCTTGGGGTGCAGGGCCTGGGAGGGAGTAGGGGTGCAGGAGAGGATTCTGGCCTGCGGGAGGAATGTCAGAGGGGCTGCAGGTTCTGAGAGGTAGTTGTGACCTGGAGGAGGAGGGAGGGTGGTACAGAGAATTTGGGTGGTGACCTGGGGCAGGAGTGGGGGTGCCAAGGCAGGTACTTACCTAGGTGGCTCCTGGCAAACAGCCCAGCAGGACCTACGGGCAGGCTCAAAGCAACTGGCTCCTGCAGTCACGTGGCTGCCAGGGAGCCTGGCTGAGGGCGGCTGGATCCTCTTGTCCCCCGTGCCCGACGCCATACAGACAATCAGTACCGTGCGTGTTTCGTTCTCTGCCGTGGCCTAGCAATCGCTCAGCGTCGCTGGCAGCCAATCTCCTGCACGTTCAGCTGCATGATCAGGCTCCCAGGGTACCAGCGGAAGCGCTGGCTGGGCCATTCAAAACCAGCCTGCAGGGCTGAGGGCGGCTGGATCCTCTTGTCCCCCGTGCCCGACGCCATACAGACAATCAGTACCGTGCGTGTTTCGTTCTCTGCCGTGGCCTAGCAATCGCTCAGCGTCGCTGGCAGCCAATCTCCTGCACGTTCAGCTGCATGATCAGGCTCCCAGGGTACCAGCGGAAGCGCTGGCTGGGCCATTCAAAACCAGCCTGCAGTGCTTACTGCGGGGTTGCTCTGCTACTGGCCTGGCTGGCTGGGCGAGGTCCATGAGGCCCTGCTGCCCGCGGGACCCAGCCCTGCTGCCCCTGGGACCCAGCGGGAGGCCCATGCCCCACGCTGCAGAGGAAGGCACAAAATTGCCAACGTCCCTGCCACTCTGAGCTGGCAGCAATTCCTTCGCCTGTTGGCTCTGAGCCCGTGAGCATGGGCCAGACTTCAGGACAGGGAGATGCCCCCGGGCGTCCCACCCTCACACGGGCCAATGCCTGCCCTTCCAGGGCTCTGGGGCTGTGATCTCCTGGCAGTGGCCAACAGCTGGCGCCAAAGCACACCCTGCGAGCGGTGAGAACTTCTAGGAATTGGCACCGGGGCTTCCCTTCTCTTGCATTCCTGTGGGTGGGGTGTGAAGGTGTCGTGTCTTGGTTTCACACCCTGCTTTGTCAAATGCTGAGAAGGTAGGGCCCGCTCCTTTGGGGGGGTGGCAGAAGCGCTGTCTGGTTCCCCACGCAGTGCGGTGAGATGTACCAGTACCGCACGGTTACCCGGAGCGATTGACTAGCCACTGCAGGGATGTGCTGTCACCTGGAGCCTTTCCCTCGGGACTAGACCTCTTCCTACAAGCTCAGCCGCAGGCCGGGGGGCTTCCTGTAGGGACCCTTGGGCGAAAGCCTGCGCCCTGTGCGTCTCGGGAGTCCTGGCTGTGCCCAAAGCTGGCTGTGGAGCGTGGAATGCTGCAGGCGACGCGAGCTCCGCGGGGGCGGTTCGCAGCACGAGTTAGTTCACACTGTCAGCGTGAGGAAAATGGGGATTGTGAAGACAAAGTGGTTTTAGCTTAGCCCAGCCCATTGCTCCCATATAGCAGTTGGGGAAGGAAGAGAGTTAACTGGGAACCAGAGTGGTGGGAGCAAAGGGCTGCATCGCAAACCAGAACCGTGAAGTAGGATGGCCACTGACTAACAGTTTCTCCCAGGCGTCCCCGCGAAGGCTGGTCTGTTGCGGAGCTGGCTGGCTCTTTGGGATCCAAATGCTCTAACACTCCCCTTCCCCTCCAAGTAGCTGACAGGATACAGCGCACTTGCCTTCCCGCGGTGACACTGGCTGGCTGCATTTGCTGGCCGCTGTCATGTTCTCTTCGTCTCCCAGTGGCTTTGATTGCATTGGTGTCTGATGGTTTCCCCCACAAGTCTTGGGATGGGGGAAGGCTCGTTACTGAGCCTTGTGCTCCAGTGCCAGCTAAACAGCTGGGCCGGCCTGCTTGGGCCAGCGCCACGGCCCATTCTCATCTAGTGACTAAGCACATAAACATGCCCTCCCTGACATGCAGCGCTGCGTTTCCGGTAGCTGCTTGTGAGGGAGGACGATCCCGTACGCCAGGGGTCTGCCAGTGAGTTTGCCAGCTCCGAGATGAGCAGTTTGTAGAGCCTAGGGTGCTCTGCTCTGCTAGCCATCCTGCTGGAAAAGCCCAGAGGCACCAAGGCAGCGTAGTTTAGGGGTAGTGCGAGGGCAGCCAGAGGCGGGCAGCCCAGTGCTCCTAGGGGGCACGGCCGAGGAGCTAGTCACGCATTGCTGCAAGAACGCGCTCGCACCCAGGCCGGGAGAGAGAGCGCCACAGAGGAGGTGAGTGTCTCCTCCTTATTGAAAGTCCTGGGGATTTTTCAAGCCCAGGTAAAATGTGTTTCAGATCTGCCTTAAAGCTCCCCTTTGTAATTTGCCATGCATCTCACTTCAACCTGCTCAGAGCCAAACTGGTTAGGAACAGGCCGGGTTTGCGCTGGGGGGTCGAGGGCGGGATAGCCTTGCTGCTGCTTGGCATACTGCCACCTGGGCCAGTCCTGCGCCGGGGCAGACTGCCAGGAAACAGGCCCCAAGTGCCTGGGAGCTCTGTTTAGCTGGCTCCACCCTGTGCTCTGGGGTAAACGCCCTGGGTACTAGAACAGCGTTAGCATGGGTGCGCAGGCCGCCCTGGGCTCTGATGTGGCTTGTCACCCACACGCCTCTGTCTGTGACAGATGGTCCCGAACACCAAGAATCACAGCGATAGGCTAGTCTCAGTCCCAAGGGACCAGCCACGTTCTTGGGTCTCCCTGTGCGGCCAAGGCTAGTAGCCAACCAAAGCTACAGCAAGGACCAGGAAATGGTTATTTACAAGGTTACAGGCAGCACCGCTGTGTGCACACGCACTCCCGTGTGCAGTTTCAAAAGCGTACAGAACGCGCTCTCGCCCGCCCGCTCCCTGCGTCTGCTAGGGCTGGCGAAGCACTGGGGAGCTTACACTTGGGTCTCCCTGTGCGGCCAAGGCTAGTAGCCAACCAAAGCTACAGCAAGGACCAGGAAATGGTTATTTACAAGGTTACAGGCAGCACCGCTGTGTGCACACGCACTCCCGTGTGCAGTTTCAAAAGCGTACAGAACGCGCTCTCGCCCGCCCGCTCCCTGCGTCTGCTAGGGCTGGCGAAGCACTGGGGAGCTTACACGTAAGGTTAGTCATCCCCACCCCCGGCATTCAAGCAGTGCCC